AATCAAATAATTTCAACAACTTCAGTAATATTCAAAGTAACAAGAAAAGAAAGGCTTTGGCGGCTACATAGGATGATAGTGATGATTCGTCTTCGGATGAAGAAATCAAAGAAAAGGAAAACGCCAATATGTGTTTTATGGCACAAGATGAAGTGACAATGAAGAGTTTTTAGATGCTTTCAATGAATTATATGAAATATTTTTTAGATTAAAAGCTTCACATAATTTTCTTAAAGGTAAAAATAAAAGATTACCTGAAAAAATTTCTGATTTTAATTCTTCTACTATTTCTAATTCTCAAGTAATTGAATTGAAAAAGGAAAATAAATCATTGCTTAAAGAAAATCATATTTTGACTAATGAGAATGTAACATGTTTATCTAAAATCAGAATGCAATGAATTAAAAATTCGCATTAATGTTTTAGATAAAGATATTTCTTCTATTAAATTAAAATATGATGATATATGTTTGAATGTTAGTAAATTCAATAAAGGTAAAGAAAATCTTAATAATTTACTTTCATATCAAAAAGAATCTCAAAAGACAAAAGGTTTGGGTTTTCATGTTAACAAAAATATTTCTAAGAAAACCATTTTTGTAAAACCAACTTCTAAATTGCATGAACATAATGTTAAAGATAATATTTTATGTGAAAAAAAAATCAAAATACTTATCTATTTGGGTACCTAAAGAATTTACTTCGTTAAAGAAAAAGTATTATATTTCTGCCTTTATTAAAGATGTTTGTTTATCAAATAACTATTTAAACAAATCAAACTCTTCATGGGTTTGGTTTCCTAAAGGCTAATTTTATGGACCCAACATAGCATGGGTATCAAAATTGTAAATGTTTATTATTTCAGGTACCTAAGAAAAATAGATGGATTTTGGATAGCGGTTGCTCTAAACATATAACCGATAATATACAATTGTTGTAATCTTGTCTAAATAAGGATGGTGATACCGTCACTTTTGGAGATAACAACAAAGGGAATGTCATCGGTATTAGAATTATCGGTAATCCTAATAAACCTATTATTGATAATGTTTTATTAGTTGATGGTCTTTGTTAAATAGTGAGAAAATCAGAGAGTATATTATTTCATTCATCTCCATGGGTATATATAGGGTTTTATATGGGTAATAGGCTAATGGGTTAATGGGTCCTAACCCGATAACCCAAGAACTAATTCTAACACTCCCCCTCAAGCTGAAGCATATATATCAATCATGCCCAGCTTGTTACATAGAATGGAAAACACATTAGGTGAAGTAGCTTTAGTGAGAATGTCAGCTAACTGTTCTGAAGATGGAGTGAACTGAAGAGATATGACTTTCTTTTTCCAAGCATCTCTGACAAAATTACAATCAACTTCAATATGCTTCGTTCTCTCATGAAACACTGGATTCTTTGCAATGTGGATAGCAGATTGATTATCACAATGCATAGGCATAGATCCAGGCTGCGAAAAGCCAAGCTTGGTCAGCAGCTTCTGTAGCCATATCATCTCACAAACAGTGTGAGCCATAGCTCTGTATTCTGCTTCTGTACTAGATCGAGATACTACATCTTGTTTCTTGCTCCTCCAAGTAACCAGATTTCCTCCAATAAATGTGCAAAATCCATAAGTAGACTTTCTATCTCCTATATCTCCCGCATACCCAGCATCAGAATAGGCAGAGATGTGTAAATGTCCATGTTTCTTATACAGTAATCCTTTTCCCGGACAGCTTTTAACATAAGCCAAAATTCTTAGAGCAGCAGTCCAGTGAACCTCTCTAGGTATATGCATAAACCTGCTCAATACTCCCACTGCAAAGGTAATATCAGGTCTGGTCACAGTAAGATAGATCAACTTGCCAATCAATCTCCTATATCGGCCTGCATCATCTAGGAGAGGACTATTATCACGCCACAAGTCAACATTCACTTCCATGGGAGTGTTTGCTGGCTTACACCCCAAAAAGCCCATTTCTTCTAATAGGTCCAATACATATTTCCTTTGAGATAGAAGTAAACGGTCCTTTTGATATGCAATCTCAATGCCAAGAAAGTATTTGGGTTTCCCCATATCTTTGGTCACAAAATGACGTGAAAGGTACTTCTTAGTCTCTGCTATGGTTACAAGGTCATTCCCAGTTAACAGGATGTCATCAACATATACTGTCAGAACCACCAGACCAGATGTAG